CGTGTTTCTGTTCATTACATGAGAATGACCAAGTATTAATTGCCAAAAGTTCTTCCTGTGATTCAAGAGGCATAATTGATTTCGATTTGAGGCTCATTTTGCCAGCCAGCCAGGTCGAAATTTGATACCTTCAGATCAAAGCCCATTGCCACATATACACAATTGGATTTCGAAAACCTCTATGAATGTGTAAATAATAACTGGGATTTTGAGATTCCCACTATGGAACTTAATTCTTTGAATTTCAAAAACGGACACTGGGATTTTGAACCAGTGCATTAAGGAACTTGGACTTCAGATTTTATGGATACAGGAGGTTGGGAAGTTATGAACGTAAGTAGTTAATTTTCTGATATAGCCGTTTTAGTTATTGTCATAATAATGAGGAATCCATATTGACATGGATTTCTCATTATTTCTCAATGATATTAGTAGTATTAGTGTTTCATTAATAATTTTTGGAATCTTTATTTGGTGTGTATTTTACTTTTTTAACATAAAGAGACTGTCAAGAAAGAAAAGTTATCGATAGATAGAGATATGAGCACTCAGACTCATGAAAATGAGTCAAAAACGTATAGGAACAAGAAAGTTCAGTCGAACATTTCGGAACAATTTGGTAGCAAGGATTGAAAAACATTCTACCACCTCTTTTTTGTTTTATAGCCATGTACTAATTAGGTCCACAGCTTTCATGCTCAATAAAAAGTGTTGAATATTGGTAAATGGTGAATGTTCGTCAATTTGAAACTAGTGTACGACGAAACACTGTGTCAACAACAAGGTGAATATTGAAATTTGTGATATAAAAAATGTTGCCACATATTTACAAGGCCCGTCGATGAAAAATCTACATCATGGCTCAGTCTTGGTATCCCTCTTAATTTTTATATATTTTTGCAAAGCACACAGCATCAATGTTACAAATATGGAAAATATACGGAGTGGTCTATTTATAAGATCATAACTTTGGTTTATATCCGGATAGTGACAACTTATTTCGAAAATCTGTCTACGCTACTGGATTTAAAGTGGAAAAAGTCATGAGACACATTTTCCACTTTTTCGATGAGTTGAATTTCTGTGTACGGAGTGTGAAAGTTTGAAAATACGGAATGTGTTTCTTGCAAACGAGAAACAGGCGAACCTGTTCTTACTCTTGACAGTTGTCAGAGACCAACACACAGAGAATGTTCATGGTTGAGTGCTAGTGAATTGAGTGTCAAGAACCTCAATGATAGAAGACATCTCAGATTCAATTTTGGAGACTGTCATAATGGTATTAAGCTTATTCCTGAACTGTTACTGAAAATTGATGATAAGAAAAGTGATATTAACGAACTGGAAACAGTTTTGAACAATGTACCTACGTTAACAATATGTGAAAAGGGGGAAATGATATCGGGTGTGTATAATTTGCGGACTGGAATAAAATGTTGCGGACTGGCTATTTCCATCAAACTTTTTGATGTTTTTATTGCACATCTGGAATCAGCTCACCGATGTACACGATGAGAAGTTTCAGTTTTTTTTCTATGACCCCCCTGGGGAGCACTTTACTCTTATGTTTTTTCATAAAATCTTGCGGACTGGGTACTTTTGAGAGTCAAATCATCTCAATTTCACCATAAATCGATTTATCTCATGAGAATACACGATGAAAAGTTTTTGAATTTTTTCCCCAGCCCCCCTGGGAAGCACTTTACTAGTGCGTTTTTTCATAAAATCTTGCGGACTGGGTATTTTTGAGAGTCAAATCATCTCAATTTCACCATAAATCGATTTATCTCATGAAAATACACGATGGAAAGTTTTTGAATTTTTTCCCCAGCCCCCCTTTGAAAAATGTGATACTATTTCTGTACTAAATGTATTGTTATTGTTTTGACATGATATAATATGAATATAATTCCCATCCATGAATTAATGTTTTTCTTATTGGTACCTTATTTTGCTCAATTAAAGGACACGCCTCAGCGTCAGCGAGATTTCATGAAAAAACACAAGAGTAAAGTGCTCCCCAGGGGAGCTAGGGAAGAAATTCAAGAACTTTTCAACGTGTATTTTCATGAGATGAATCGATTTATGGTAAAATTGAGATGATTTGACCCTCGAAAATACCCAGTCCACAAGATTTTATGGAAAAACACAGGAGTAAAGTGCTCCCAAGGGGGAGTGTGGAAAAAATTAAAAAAGTTTTCATCGTGTATTTTCATGAGATAAATCGATTTATGGTAAAATTGAGATGATTTGACCCTCGAAAATACCCAGTTCACAAGATTTTATGAAAAAACACAAGAGTAAAGTGCTCCCAAGGGGGGCTGTGGAAAAAATTCAAGAAGTTTTCATCGTGTATTTCCATGAGATAAATCGATTTATGGTAAAATCGAGATGATTTGACCCTCGAAAATACCCAGTCCACAAGATTTTATGAAAAAACACAAGAGTAAAGTGCTCCCAAGGAGGGCTGTGGAAAAAATTTAAAAAGTTTTCATCGTGTTTTTTCATGAGATAAATCGATTTATGGTAAAATTGAGATGATTTGACCCTCAAAAATACCCAGTCCATAAGATTTTATGAAAAAACACAAGAGTAAAGTGCTCCCAAGGGGGGCTATGGAAAAAATTCAAAAAGTTTTCATCGCGTATTTTCATGAGATAAATCGATTCATGGTGAAATTGAGATGATTTGACTCTCAAAAATACCCAGTTCGCAAGATTTCATGAAAAAACACACGAGTAAAGTGCTCCCCAGGGGGGTCATAGAAAAAAAAAACTGAAACTTCTCATCGTGTATATCGGTGAGCTGAATCCAGATATGCAATGGGATTATCGAAGAGTTTGATGGAAATAGCCAGTCCGCAACATTTTATTCCAGTCCGCAAATTATACACACCTA